TTGTTTGTTTGTTTGTGTCACGCCTGGAGCTATCCCGTATCTGTCCCGTATCTGTCCCGTATCTGTGACTACAAAGGCTCTACAGGATTGTACATAACAGCTGGCCACAATATTGGCTGGTACCGTGTCTGTCCCGTACCGTACCATCAAGCATAGCTGGCCACAAACAGCTGCCCACAATATATGGCCCGATATCTGAGACTTTCGACCTTCGGGGCTACGCGGTTTTTTTGAGAAAACACTAAAAACAAATTTGTTCGCAAAAAAATCGATTCCGTCAAAGCAAAGTGCAGAGACGACAATGGCGGAAGAAAATTGAAGGCGATTCTTGTGTCAGTTGGTTATTGGGCTCACGGAGCACAGCAGCCGCGATCCCATGGACGGTGATGCATCGTTCTTTGTGGATATCCTGTCAAGCGGCGACAGCGCTTCTAGTTCTGAGAGCGCATGTCAGGCGAATCGATCGCAAGTGACACGCGGTACTTACCTATCGGGGGCGACGATGATGAGGACTTGGCCTGGATGAGTATGATCAAGGCCAACCACAGTCTGCCTCAGCGATAGCTGCTACAGCTCCAGGCAAGGACAACCAGGTGGATTCCTGAGGGTACGCCGCTTGCAAGGTCGCTGGGCGCCCTTGCGCGAGTGGCAGAACTGTTTCCTGAGTGTCACGCCAGACCTGCTAAAACGGCACGAAATGATGCGAGTTTTCTTTGCGACGATGATCCTAAAATGTTTTGGATGGCACGCTCGATACTCGAGCTAATAATGGCGAATCAGACCATCACGGAGTACATGAGGCTGGGCAATCTCGAGTAACATTCTGTTACTTTTGAGTTGGTGGTGTGAAACGCTTGTCAGACTGTGTTACTGATGTTTGGAAATGGTCAGTCTCCACAAAGTGCAACAAGGCGAATCTGGACGCATTTGCTCCGTTTGACTCCTTCACAATAATTATGTGAATGCTGTTACATGTATCATGGTGTTCCATCAAAATCTGTTGCAGACAATCCTGTCAAGCATGTCCATCACCAGGAGAACAGATAAATCACCTCTCCTTCTAATGCTGCCATTGCTGCTGTTGCAACTACACAACCTCAATAAAGTCACGGAATGCTGGAAATGAAGTACCTGAACAGTCAAAACACTTTACTATATTAGATATCACATGGAAACAATTTTTGGTGGCTCCAAACACACTGATATTTCAAAATTGTAAAAAAAGAACAATTCATTAACATGACTCCTGACTGTAGAATGCATTTCTACATGGTCAATATTGGTCTGATGGCCGTGAAACGAAGTCACAATACTCTACAAAGGCAAGACATCAATTTGCAATAAAAAAATCAATTTCACCAAAACAGCCCCGAAGGTCGATTTTCTCAGATATTGGGCCATATGGTATATGATATGGTATATGGTTCAGTTCCAGGAGGAATCTGGAGCTCGCTGAACCAATCGATAGTCGATAAGCACTGGCCAACGAGGGACCACTCTTTGCAGGCTCTGAGGGATGTATCGAATGAAGAAAAGTTGAACTGACTTGGTTCGGCAGGGATGGCAACACTTCGTGTGTCTCGCTGACCTTGTAATTGGAGTCTGGCGAGGACAATGTCGTGGTCGGAGGTACCCAGCGGTGCGACCACTCTTTGCAGGCTCTGAGGGATGTATCGAATGAAGAAAAGTTGAACTGACTTGGTTCGGCAGGGATGGCAACACTTCGTGTGTCTCGCTGACCTTGTAATTGGAGTCTGGCGAGGACAACGTCGTGGTCGGAGGTACCCAGCGGTGCGGCAGTTGAGAGGTTAGAAAGAATTAGTGGGTGGTTGGTTATAACCAGGTCTAACGCACTGGCATTACCACTGTGTTGGGAGTAATGTGTGGGAAAGGTAGCGAGCTGTGATAGGGAGAGCATTTGAAGCAGACAAAGCAGTTGATGACGAACCGCATCTGTGGTCGATCCATACCATTCCGAGCAACGAGCGTTGAAGTCCCCAGAGACGAGAAGCATGAAGTCGGGCATAGATTAGCGTTGCAAGATGGATTGAAATTGAGTAAAGAAATTATCGGTTTGGCGGTGTGTCACCGATCCTAAATAGCGCATGATCATAACGTGAAGCAACTTGGAAGAATCAGTAGGAATGCGAAGTGTATCGGGCAATGAATGTAGAGCGATTGGGCGGGTTAGAATCCCAGGTTATGCCTTGAAATAAAATAGGAGAATTGAAAAATTTATAACATCCCTCTGCTTTTTTTTGTCCAGGTCATCAAGGCAAAAAGCATAGCGTAGGGCCCTGAGCTTCCAAGCTCTCTCGTTTATAGTGGAGAAAACCAAAACAGGCATGTATGTACAGTAAAACCTGTGACTAACGACCACCGCTTGGTGCCAGCAAATGTGGTCTTTACTAGCAGGTGGTCTTTAGTTAGAGGTTTGCACCACGCAACCATACTTCTTGAAGTATATGGATCCCATTATATCATATGTATGTTAAAATGCAGCTAATTCCCCCAGGACTTGCGCAATGCTTATTCCAGGTCCAACAACACTTGGAGAGAAAGACGGAGAGACGGAGAGAGACACAGGCAGAGAAAGATCAATTTTTTTCCAGACATTAAATTCAGCCTCTACTTCTGAAGCCAGGAGTCAAACGTTCCTTGTGGAAGTTTCGTTTTGCGCTGGGCTTCAAAGTCACGCGATTAATCGTACCGACTGTCCTTGTTGTGACTTCTCGATGGCTTGAACGCGATCCTTCAGCAGCAGGACCATGCGGTGCTGCTTTGTTTCTGGATTCCTTGATGCCATCGTCGATTCGTCTGTATGACTGGGGTGGCCGCTCAGTCTTCGTTTCTCCTCCGAGTGGTAACATCGATCAGAGAGCGCTTTCGATACGCTCTCCAAGACATTTCCTATCATGTATATTCTAGACAGCGCTTGCAAATTTGACAGGTGTAGTGCAGTCCACACCGACTCCACAGTCAAAATGACCTGTGTTCATTTGTTCAGCTGTAGTATCGAAAGATTTCTTTCAGGACCATGGAAAATCAGCAAACATTTCAAGAAGGAGCTTCGAGCAACATTTGATTTCCTACATCGCGGTCGCTAGTTACGGGTCAAAAATCGTCTTTGGGACAAGAAAAGGCGGTCGCTGGTTGCGTTCAGCAGGTAGTTGCTAGTCACAGTGCATTTGGAATGTGAGACCGTCCGTGCCTGGCGAAGTGGTCGGTAGTACCAAGCTGGTCGCTAGTCACGGTGGTCTTTAGTTACAGGTTTTACTGTAGTACCAGGCTGGTCGCTAGTCACGGTGGTCTTTAGTTACAGGTTTTACTGTAGTACCAGGCTGGTCGCTAGTCACGGTGGTCTTTAGTTACAGGTTTTACTGTAGTACCAGGCTGGTCGCTAGTCACGGTGGTCTTTAGTTACAGGTTTTACTGTAGTACCAGGCTGATCGCTAGTCACGGTGGTCTTTAGTTACAGGTTTTACTGTAGTACCAGGCTGGTCGCTAGTCACGGTGGTCTTTAGTTACAGGTTTTACTGTAGTACCAGGCTGGTCGCTAGTCACGGTGGTCTTTAGTTACAGGTTTTACTGTAGTACCAGGCTGGTCGCTAGTCACGGTGGTCTTTAGTTACAGGTTTTACTGTAGTACCAGGCTGGTCGCTAGTCACGGTGGTCTTTAGTTACAGGTTTTACTGTAGTACCAGGCTGGTCGCTAGTCACGGTGGTCTTTAGTTACAGGTTTTACTGTAGTACCAGGCTGGTCGCTAGTCACGGTGGTCTTTAGTTACAGGTTTTACTGTAGTACCAGGCTGGTCGCTAGTCACGGTGGTCTTTAGTTACAGGTTTTACTGTAGTACCAGGCTGGTCGCTAGTCACGGTGGTCTTTAGTTACAGGTTTTACTGTAGTAACAGGCTGGTCGCTAGTCACGGTGGTCTTTAGTTACAGGTTTTACTGTAGTACCAGGCTGGTCGCTAGTCACGGTGGTCTTTAGTTACAGGTTTTACTGTAGTACCAGGCTGGTCGCTAGTCACGGTGGTCTTTAGTTACAGGTTTTACTGTAGTACCAGGCTGGTCGTTAGTCACGGTGGTCTTTAGTTACAGGTTTTACTGTAGTACCAGGCTGGTCGCTAGTCACGGTGGTCTTTAGTTACAGGTTTTACTGTAGTACCAGGCTGGTCGTTAGTCACGGTGGTCTTTAGTTACAGGTTTTACTGTAGTACCAGGCTGGTCGCTAGTCACGGTGGTCTTTAGTTACAGGTTTTACTGTATATTATGTATGATCAAGAGTATATAACCCTTCCCCCCCTCCCCCTCCTCCCCTCCCCCCCTCCCCTCCCCCTCCCCCCCTCCCCCCCCCTCCCCCCTCCCCCCCCTCCCCCCCTCCCCCCCCTCCCCTCCCCCCCACGAGTGTGCAGCTCCTGATACTCTTTCTATGGGGTACGCCGACGGCGAAAACTCACATCATGTGGTGCAGTGTCGCAGTTGTACGTTTCCAGCCCGTTTTAGCGAGCAGCTTGATAAACAAAAAGCACTCTCTGTGGTTGGCTACCACCTGACTTCTCATTAATATTGTCAGTCTTACGACGAGCCAGGAGATGTTGCATAATTTTAAATAAATAAACAAATGAATGAAGCTCACTGCGGGTACGCAAATCCCCAGCATGATCATGGCATATATTCGGATTGCGCGCCGCCATCCTTCGTTTGTACGTAGTACGCACGTATCAGACACGTGATGAGAGTTTTCGCGGTCGGAGACCCCATAAACAGAGTTGCACACTCTCGGGGGGTTATAACTATACTCTTGGTTTGACCATACACACAATGTTGCACTGCAGAGGCACAAGCCTCGCTGCCGCAAAACCTCGCCGCCGAAGTGAAACCAGGTGAAACCCGGTGCATGTGTAGCCAGACATATTTCCTTATCTCTGTGTCTCTCTTTGTCTCTCATTCTCCCCACCTCCCCCACAATGTACATGGTTTTTTGGTGTAAACTTACTCCTTCAATCGTCCAGTCACCATGCGCACAACAGCCATCACACCCATCAGGATTGACAGAATGATTTGAGCCGTTGAGGAGAAGATAACAAACTCACACACTGACTTGGAACCAGAGAATGGTACAAGAGCGGTATCATTCTTCCACGTCCCTCCCCACAATATGCAGAAACCTCCAGGCTGTTCATCGTACACATCATTTCTACAGAACAAAATACACACACACACACACACACACACACACATGTGCACGCACACACACACATACACACACACACACACATATGTGCACACACACACATGTGCACGTGCACACACACACACACACACACACACACACACACACACACACACACACACACACACACACACACACACACACACACACACACACATATACACACACATACACACACACATACATACACACATACATACACACACACACACACACATACACATACACACACATTCACATGTGAAAGTACACATGCACAAAAACATAATATGTGTTCTTGCTCGCTGCCAGGAACTAGTTACGTGACGGGGGTTGCAGGGGGCAGCGGGGGAAAGAGGAGGAGGGTGTAGATTAGAAAGAAAACATGAAAATATGAATTAATAGGCCAGTGAACTGCCCACACTCCCTGGAACTCCTAAACTCTGGGTGGACTTGGAAATGATCCCACTTAGGGATTCACAACATTTCAGTATGTCACAGTGGAAGAGTGCAAGGTGCAGAAAAGAGATTGGCCGTGATAACAAGGTATCCGTCCCAGTATCCAGCCGCCCTTCCCCCCCCCCCCCCCCCAGCCGCCCTTACCCCCTACACACACCACATGTCTAATAGCAGCTGACAAGTGATGCCAGTTACCCCGTACGGGGAATTCCCTACACTACAGAATAGTGTCCCATATTAAACATACCGAAGCACAGGGAGTTGTATGGTATAGGACGGAACACGATACGAGATCATAGTTTCAGTTACAAAGTGCAGTTTGACCCTACGTGTACATTAGGACGTTTTGCATGATTCGTAGTACAGTCAACTTGGCTAATAACGACTGCGGATATAACGACAATTCACGAATAACGACAGCATTTCCATGCCCAGAGCAAAGTCCCATCCCACTGTAATACATATAATGAGACTTCGGGTATAACGACACTTCGCGAATAAGGACACTTTTTTGATGCCCCGCCGCCGAGTGTTGTTATAAGCGAAATTGACTGTACATGCAACTCGTAACCGCAATCTCAGCCTTGACCTCCTGATGCCACATGTCACCGAATCCTGCGATGCCACATGCGAGCATACAGAAATACGCACTACCCCAGGGGTGGCTGTAAATGCATGATTGTACTCAGCTCACACACATGTACATGTACATGTGTGTGTAATAAGCTGGGCCGCAAGTCACACAATCATCATGCCGCCTGTGTTTGGACAACAAGCATGGCAGAGGGGATACACCCATGTATTCATGTACATGAACAGTGCCGAGTCGCTTCACTGTACACTAATACAATGCACGTACACTGTTTTTTTTGGATGGCTTTTTTATTTTTTCGCCCTCCCTCATTGATTTCATTGAATAAGGTGACGCGAAACAGAGAAAAAACGGCGTGGCCTAATAGTACAGTGCTGGCAACTGAAATCCGACCTCCTTGACGGCACGGCGCGGCGCCGCCAAGGAGGTCGGATTTCAGTTGCCAGCACTGTAGTATCGTGGACCAGTATAATACCATGTACATGTACATACATGTATATGTGTCCACGTGTATGTACATGTATGTACATACATGTGTGTAGTAGTAGTAGTAGTAGTAGTAGTAGAATTTATTATTTTACTAGGGAACTCCCAACAGGCGTTGCCTTTTTACTGGGAACCCTAGGAATGACTTGGTGCTTGCGACAAATGCAGAAAGGGGCTTAGCTTGACGACATCCAGGTGGAAGCATGTTCCATCTGTCTGCTGCCAAAAATGAAATAGCATTCAGGCCGTAACGAGATGTAGCTCTGGGTAGGTTCAGAGCGGTGTGTCCATATGCATGTGTGTGTTTGTATAAGCCTATGGTGAAGGCTAACAACGAACTCCACACATCTGTATGTGCATGTGTGTACATGTGTGTGCGTGTGTGTGTGTACGTGTGTGTGCGTACATGTGCACGTCTGTGTCTTACCTCATTTTCAACATCTCGTACAACACCAGTATACTGGCTGAGAGTACCAGTAGATAGAGCATAACACGGAGTGACCCGGTAACTGCATGGCTAACCATGTTGCTTGTTGACGACCACCTCACGCACTAACGACCACCTCACGCACTAACGACCACCTCGCGCACTAACGACCACCTCACGAACTAACGACCTCACGTTCTTGCGACCTGGATGTGCGCAGTCGTCAGGGATGGAGCGCTGCTACCGTTTCTTCTTCTTGCGCCTCACTACAGCATCAAGTTGAGGATCTGCTCGTGACACTGGGAGACGTAAAGACACTGTTCTGATGCGACTTTCCCTCGCTTTCGGATCTACTATTCCGAAATAAACTTGCTCATTACAAAACAATCATGTCGGGGAAGATCCTGCGTGTCTCATTTCCAAAGCGGCGGAACGTGCTATCCTCTGTCCAATATCAGTTCTACCATAAGCAGGAGCAGAGCAGCTTGTCCAGCTTTTGTAGCTTGTCCGCGTGATTCAGACTCGCACTGAACTAATAACACGCCTGTACTACTGGTGTCGGTCGCTGTCCAAACTGTCCTGGTCCAGCTGATATTGTCATGAACATTGTCATTCTCTGCTTTCCCGACCAAGCCAAGCATCGCACCGCTTTGCACAAGTGCGCTAGTTCCACACAGCGGACTCCAGCAGTCCAGGGAAAGTTTGACAACAAGCTGCCGTTGTCTCGTGAGACCTGTGGACGGGTCGATCGCCAGACTTGGAAGCGTACCAACAGTAAACCTGCCTTCGTGGCCACTTCCAAACATCACAAAATGTCATAGGAGGCAGTCATTCTTCACGCAAACCCAAACTACAGGCTACAGCTATACTACAACTAATAGTATTACTATTAGTACTAGTAGTACAAGTATGTCAGTCATCATGGTCATAATCATAAAAATAAAATTAATAATTATACAGTGGAGCGGGATCAAAAGCGCTCGCACATGTACGGAAACCAGAAATGGCCATGTAGATCTAGATTTACAACCACGGTCGCTGACTGAGTCCGTACTACTGAGTACTGTACTCTGTAGTCTGTAGCGGACATGGAAATCCAGTCGATTGACCGGGGCCGGCGCCCGCCTCAACGCGTACAGAACGCTGCGTGCAGTGCACAAAGTCATGTTGATCCGCGATGACCAGCGCGCTGCAGTGCATAATGATGTTCCCCTCCTTATCCACGGCTGCATGGGCAGCGCCCTGGGGCCGCTAGACGTGCGACCGGATTTCCATGTCCACGACAGTACATTGTAGCACTATTACATGTACTGAGTATTACGATTAGTATTACATGTAGCGCTATACTATAGCATGCAGTTGGCAGCAGCAGCGACACATGCATGTAGGTGCTAGGCAACACCGCAAACATCGCTCATTCTGTTTTGGTTGCTGCAAGGTACATGTAGTTTGAGACAAGAAAGCAAGGGAGCATAAATCCATAATAATTTGTACACAGATGGAATCACCCAGCACATGATAATTATCGTTCAGTATCCAGTACTACATGCATGGTGAGCATTTTACCGTTCACGCTATTTCGACGGTCGGCCTGCACCGTTTTTTGTGTGTGTAGACATGGCATTTTACAGTTCACGCGCTAGATCCAACGGCACTCGTACCCCAAACCCAAAATACCGTCGGTCTGGTACCGTTTCGACGATAGAAAGCTCTTTTAGCGGGAGAACGAAACGGTAAGATTCTAACTACATGTAGGCTCTGGCAAGGTACGTTCGGGCCTGATTGGAAATTTTTATTTCCATTGCTATCAGGTTCGGCCTCATTTTCTCTGTGCTGCGCTGATGAGTTCAAAAAGAACGAAACAGCATGCTGTCCGCAGATTGAGTGTAGGGTTACCTCACACGTCTATCGTTGCGTCGGGAGTCAGGACTCAGAAGCCCAACTGCTAGGCCCCGGTCACCATGGTCACACATGCACTTTTTTTGGCGGTTCCGCCAAAGCGTAACTTACGCTTCCGCCGTTGCCTCGGCAACGGCGGAGGCGTAAGTTAGGGGCCGTCCGTAAATATCGATGTTTTTTTAGAGACGATATTGGTGCGTCTGGGGGGGAGGGGGTTTGAGCCATGTGCGTCTTTTCGAGCATCAGAAAAATATCGATGTAAATATCTGAAGTTTCGCCGATCCCTGCACGCGGACGTCTAAATGGCTATACAAGAAATGTGAAACCAGCTTCCGTTCGCGGAGCTAAAACTCGCGACACAAGAACAAAATCAAAAATTGGAAGCTGTACGCCCATGGCGAATTTCAAGAGCAAAAGAATGAGCTATTGATTGTGGAAATCGGCCGAACGATGCCTGCGGGAGACCTTTTTCAAGACGTAGAGGCAGTGCGAACAAACACGGACGAACTCCACAAGAGTTTCCAGTCTTCACTGTCTGAACAAGGATTTGAAAAAATTCAAGCCCGAGCGTAGCCGCTTTGGCTACACCAGTACACGATGGCTGAGCACTGCAGCGCCAACCCGGTTCGCTCCCCCCAGGCGATGCAGCGTGAGTGCGGCGGGATTTTCACGCCTACACCGGACCCTCAACATCCTGGGCACTTCATGAGCATCCAAAAATATTGATTCCATGATCTAGATGTACATGTGCGTCTTCTGGGGGGAGGGAGGGGGGTCAAGGGAGAGAAGCACCAATATCGTCTCTAAAAAAACATCGATATTTACGGACGGCCCCTTACGCTTTGGCGGAAAGTTTGGATTTCGCTACGCCAAAAAAATGCGAGCGGACCCTCCGCTTTCGCGGATCCGCTTTGGCGGAACCTGCATGGTGATGGCTTTGGAGTTTGGTGTGCTACTTCTGCACTGAGTTCTGGTGTTGTTTGGTTGCCGTTTGGCATTCAGTTTTCATATTGTTCTTTGCCAATGAACTGTACGTTCTGGAGATCTCGCGAGCAATACTGCATCGTTATGAGTGGATAGTTGGTGAGGGAATAACTCCGAATCCGTCTCCCAACGAGTCATTGGCCCCGATCGCGGACGATCTCCAACTCTCTCCTTCTCTCCCCAAGCAATACGTCCACCAGAGTATGCAACACTAGGACTGCAACCAGGGAGTAGTAGAGTACTCTGCCACACCCTCACTGCAGCTGCAGGCATCCACGCAGTCGCTGGGTCGATGATGGATCATGGAGGAGGCAACGACACCCTGCTATAAAACTATTTGAATTTGATATTGATGTAAACTAAACTAATATTCAAATACACCCGTGCTGGGCCGCAGTGAATGTGCCCCAAATCCACGAGTGTACTTGACATGAGACATTCAGCAGCCTGTCAGCGATCCACGATAGCTCTACTTGTACAAGCGAAGGTCGCTTCAACTCGGACAAGAAGGAGGCAACGACACCCTGCTATACGACTATTTGAATTTGATATTGATGTAAACCAAACTAGCAATATTCAAACACACCTGTACTGGGCCGCAGTGAATGCGCCCCGAATCCAGGAGTGTACTTGACAGGAGACATTCAGCAGCCTGTCAGGGATCCACGATAGCTCTACTTGTACAAGCGAAGGTCGCTTCAACTCGGACAAGAACATCTACAATTTCATAGGACGTGCTGAATTTGCATTCTCTCCGCCAAAGCGGAGCGTTGAGGAGCACAGTAGTCTACATGTATGTGTGACCGCTGCATCGTGTGGTCCGCCAAAGCGGCTGCGGTAGTTCCGCTTTTCGCCTCCGCAAAAGCGGTGCAAGCTTTTCATGTGTGACCGCGGCCTTAGCCGTGTCTCGAAAACACATCAAAAACAGTAGACTCGCCCTCTACACGCCGAACATCGAAATAGCCTGTCCCTCCAGGAAATCGCGATTCCACGGATGCAACAAATTTCGCGATTTTGGCCCAAACCCGCGATTTTCAGCAAAATCCGCGATTTCCCGCGTTTTGTTGTTGTTTTCTGCACTGTATCTCACATGTTTATGCACCTTTCACGCAGTTCTTTCCATGATCCTGTAGGTTATTTGCACAGTACGACTCGGACTACTCCCGATATACGACGCAACAAATTTCGTGATTTGGCCCAAATCCGCAATATTCTGCAAAATTCCGCGAATTCCTGGCAAGTTCTGCATCATTCCGCACTTTTCGTCGCATTTTTTGTTACTTTCTGCCGCAATTTCTTGCGCAAGTTTTCGAGAGTTTTTTCCGCAAATTCCCGCAGGGACAGAATAGCGTGAACGGTAAAATGGTAACCATGTCTAACGGTATGGTCACGTGGCTGTAATTTACCCATGTGAACATGCTTGCACGCGCCCCACGTCACAACTGCTCCAGGTGAAAACTTACTTACGACCAAGCTTTGTTCTACAGGTCAACGTAAACTCATCAATGGTACCAGCTTATCAATGTGGATAGAGAAAGCGAGAGAGTGAAAGAAAGAAAGAACGCGTTAACCATGTTAACGGGGTTGTTCGAAACAAGTAATGTACGACAGTAGATCTACATTAGTCAAGCAAAGTCATGGTGTACTAACATGTTAACACTGGCTGAAACAGGAACAGGCATGTACAGTAGCCAATGGCAATGACTGAATGAGGATCAAAAACAATCTTATGCATGAGATTAGATGTAAACATCTGCAGCATATCCCATTGTTTCAGTCCTGTGCAGGGATAAATGTACTTCAGTATATCCCATTGTTTCAGTCCTGTGCAGGGATAAATCATTGTTTCAGTCCTGTGCATGTGCAGGGATAAATGTACTTCAGCACATCAAGTTCAAGTTGCAAGAGCAAACATCGTGAAAACATATCAAAAACGATCCACAATGGATCAGAACAAAGCCTACGGATATTCTCGCACTGAGATAAGAAAAAAGAGCTACGCGTGCCTGTACGCCCCCCCCCCCCCTCCCCCAGTGATGACAAGCAGCATTCAAATATTCGCAAGTACATTATAGCTAGTTTAGGACAAGACTATTGCAGTGAGTTTACAACGTGCACAGCTGCCATGGTAACAGAAGGATGTTTGACCAGCAGCAACGGGGTGATCAAATGCACAAAAATGCTTTCAGCAGCAAAGCCAAAAAAGATGACATCATGCTACAACATCAGAGAGAAAGCAGAGCTATAGTGATGATGTAATCATTTTTACTTGGTATAGCCTGTTGACAAGGAGCTGCAGACCGCGATCATTGTGATTACACTGTGGGGATACAGTATACACTGTTTTGTTTCGCAACATCAAGGGAATATTCATCTGTGGACATGGTCCATACCCAAAATAGACGGGAATGATGAAGTTTTCGCGTCCGGCAATTGCACTGTTTTTCAGCAGATGCGTTTCATGCATGGACATAATGAAATCTTCATTTCCAGCAAGAGAACGCAGAGCATCGGGACTGAGATTCAGCGGATGCTTAGCGGAGAGGACAACAATCACGAAATGAGCACTTGGAAAATGTTCATCTACCCAGCCAGTGATACAATCGGCCACATCATCCTGACAGAACTGATCAAGCACTACATCAACACCACAGTTTAGAAGTACTGTGGCAAAGTGTACTATAGTCTGTTTCAGGTTGTCAGGGTAACGCGAGTAAGTGATGTACACTCTTCTGGGGTAGTTGCTATGACTACTTACTGCACAGTCATAAACACACACACACACATATACACACATACACATACACATACACATACACACAAACACACATGTGAGTATGCTGACCTACAGACAACTTATATGCTTGGGATTTCACGCTTTGGACAATTTCATGAAAATTGTAAAAAGTAAATTATCGTGGCACGACGGCCACGAACACCAGGTAAACCCTAATTGATGGTAACCGTGGTAACCGCTTTCGAAAGTGGAAAAAAACTGTAGTCGAATAACAGTATTATTAGCATGCAGAATACCAACCTGACAGGGATGGGTTGACCTTGTCAAACACAGCTGGAGGAGGCATATCATGATCAGCGGATAAAGACTCTGCATCGGATAATTGCTCCCAGTCCAGCATCACTGGTCCAAAGCGAAAATATTTACGAATGGCATCAAACGTCTTGTCATCGCAAGTCTTCATCATCTTTGTAAGTAGCAGAAGAGTACAGATAAGAATGCCACAACACACCATCATCCACACACCATCATACATACACCATCATACATACACCGTCATACACACACCGTCATACATACACCGTCATACATACACCGTCATACATACACCGTCATACACACACCGTCATACACACACCGTCATGCATACACCGTCATACATACACCGTCATACATACACCGTCATACATACACCGTCATACATACACCGTTATACACACACCGTCATACATACACCGTCATACATACACCATCATACATACACCGTCATACATACACCGTCATACACACACCGTCATACACACACCGTCATACACACACCATCATACATACACCGTCATCCACACACCGTCATGCATACACCGTCATACATACACCGTCATACATACACCGTCATACACACACCGTCATACACACACCGTCATACACACACCATCATACATACACCGTCATCCACACACCGTCATGCATACACCGTCATACATACACCGTCATACATACACCGTCATACACACACCGTCATACACACACCATCATACACACACCGTCATACACACACCGTCATACATACACCGTCATGCATACACCGTCATACATTCACCGTCATACACACACCGTCATACATACACCGTCATACATACACCGTCATACATACACCGTCATACAGACACCGTCATACAGACACCGTCATACACACACCGTCATACACACACCGTCATCCACACACCGTCATACACACACCGTCATACACACACCGTCATCCACACACCGTCATGCATGCACCGTCATGCATGCACCGTCATCCATACACCGTCATCCATACACCGTCATACACACACCGTCATACATACACCGTCATCCACACACCGTCATCCACACACCGTCATGCACACACCGTCATGCACACACCGTCATGCATACACCGTCATGCATACACCGTCATACACACACCGTCATACATACACCGTTATACACACACCGTCATGCACACACCATCATACATACACCGGCATACATACACCGTCATACATACACCGTCATACATACACCGTCATACACACACCGTCATACACACACCGTCATGCATACACCGTCATGCATACACCGTCATGCACACACCGTCATGCACACACCGTCATGCACACACCGTCATGCATACACCGTCATACATACACCGTCATACACAGACCGTCATACATACACCATCATACATACACCGTCATGCACACACCGTCATGCATACACCGTCATGCATACACCGTCATACATACACCATCATACATACACCGTCATACATACACCGTCATACATACACCGTCATACACACACCGTCATACATACACCATCATACATACACCGTCATACACACACCGTCATACATACACCATCATACATACACCGTCATGCACACACCGTCATGCATACACCGTCATGCATACACCGTCATACATACACCATCATACATACACCGTCATACATACACCGTCATACATACACCGTCATACACACACCGTCATACATACACCGTCATACATACACCGTCATACATACACCGTCATACACACACCGTCATGCACACACCGTCATGCATACACCGTCATACATACACCGTCATACATACACCGTCATACACACACCGTCATACACACACCGTCATACATACACCGTCATACACACACCGTCATACATACACCGTCATACATACACCGTCATACACACACCGTCATGCATACACCGTCATACATACACCGTCATACATACACCGTCATACACACACCGTCATACACACACCGTCATACACACACCATCATACATACACCGTCATCCACACACCGTCATGCATACACCGTCATACATACACCGTCATACATACACCGTCATACACACACCGTCATACACACACCATCATACACACACCGTCATACATACACCGTCATACATACACCGTCATACACACACCGTCATACATACACCGTCATACATACACCGTCATACATACACCGTCATACACACACCGTCATACACACACCGTCATGCATACACCGTCATGCATACACCGTCATACATACACCGTCATACACAGACCGTCATACATACACCGTCATACATACACCGTCATACATACACCGTCATACACACACCGTCATGCATACACCGTCATACATACACCGTCATACATACACCGTCATACACAGACCGTCATACATACACCGTCATACATACACCGTCATACATACACCGTCATACACACACCGTCATACATACACCGTCATACACACACCGTCATACAGACACCGTCATACATACACCGTCATACATACACCGTCATACAGACACCGTCATACATACACCGTCATACACACACCGTCATACAGACACCGTCATACATACACCGTCATACATACACCGTCATGCATACACCGTCATGCATACACCGTCATACATACACCGTCATACATACACCGTCATACATACACCGTCATACACACACCGTCATACATACACCGTCATACATACACCGTCATACACACACCGTCATACATACACCGTCATACACACACCGTCATGCATACACCGTCATGCATACACCGTCATACATACACCGTCATACATACACCGTCATACATACACCGTCATACATACACCGTCATACACACACCGTCATACAGACACCGTCATACAGACACCGTCATACATACACCGTCATACACACACCGTCATACACACACCGTCATACACACACCGTCATACATACACCGTCATACATACACCGTCATACATACACCGTCATACATACACCGTCATACACACACCGTCATACATACACCGTCATACACACACCGTCATGCATACACCGTCATGCATACACCGTCATACATACACCGTCATACATACACCGTCATGCACACACCGTCATACACACACCGTCATACACACACCGTCATACATACACCGTCATACACACACCGTCATACACACACCGTCATGCATACACCGTCATGCATACACCGTCATGCATACACCGTCATACATACACCGTCATACATACACCGTCATACATACACCGTCATACACACACCGTCATACACACACCGTCATACATACACCGTCATGCGAGTAACTACTCATGCGATAAATAGAACAAAATATTTAATTGATGCCAACATAATATTTACGTGTAACAATCATGTTCGGGTTTTTTTCCTTTTGGGTTACATTTTCCGGTTTTCTGGGTTTGCATTAAATTTGTATTGCATTCTAAAAAAAAAAAAAAAATTTGTTCCGTTTTTTTATTTTTTTTAACAACCACACAAGCCGACCTGTTTGGGAGCTATTACGCGTTGTATTATCAGGGCATAGGCAACAATTGCCGCATGCAGTATGCAATACTATGGACCAATGCCGTAGTATCGCAGGCAACAATTGCCGCATGCAGTATGCAATACTATGGACCAATGCCGTAGTATCGCAGGCAACAATTGCCGCATGCAGTATGCAATACTATGGACCAATGCCGTAGTATCGCAAGCACCAATGTGCGTTAGACTGGCCAATGCCAGGGCTAATGGGGGCAACAATTGCCCGGCGTGTCAATACACGCATACGGTAGGGATGCACTTGTGAGCACATGTAGGCGCACTTGGCTCAATGCCGGCCTGACCCACGATCCCTACCGTTCTCCCTTCCGGGATGGCTTAGAATAGAATGATGGTTAGAGATGATGGGGTGGGTGGTGGTGCTCAAAAACTGGCCAAGGTTGTCAAGCGATCTGACTGTTGGCGCAGCAAGGATGAAGAAGAAGCAGCATCGAGAGCCGGAGTAATGCGCATGCTCCGCGTGGTCCCGTGCCGGGGCGCGGGAGTTCGGAGTGCGTGTTCTGCACGGGCACGTCATGCGCTATGGCAAGTACGTGCAAATTATGTTAGGAATGTAATTGTTGGTGGGTTGCTAACTTCACTTACCGTGCCATGCACGGAAACTTATATTTAACAACCACACAAGCCGACCTGTTTGGGAGCTATTACGCGTTGTATTATCAGGGCATAGGCAACAATTGCCGCATGCAGTATGCAATACTATGGACCAATGCCGTAGTATCGCAGGCAACAATTGCCGCATGCAGTATGCAATACTATGGACCAATGCCGTAGTATCGCAGGCAACAATTGCCGCATGCAGTATGCAATACTATGGACCAATGCCGTAGTATCGCAAGCACCAATGTGCGTTAGACTGGCCAATGCCAGGGCTAATGGGGGCAACAATTGCCCGGCGTGTCAATACACGCATACGGTAGGGATGCACTTGTGAGCACATGTAGGCGCACTTGGCTCAATGCCGGCCTGACCCACGATCCCTACCGTTCTCCCAAAATACAACATGACCCAAACAGGAATTATCGGCATTACTATAGTTATAGTAGCGTTACTATAGTTATAGTATAATAGGTGTATCATATGTACACTACAGCTGTTGCTAGGGCCGTCCAATGCGGCTACCCATTAGCATAACGGGCAGAGACTAGAACAATGCCGCTGGCAATGCTCTGTCCGCGACAGGGGTGCGGACATAGCGGAGGTAGGCAGAGCTTTGCCACCTGCCGGCGGTCTTCAGCACGTACTCAGGCACGCCAGCTTTGCCTGCCAGCGTTGCAGCGCCTCGTCTGAGGCTGTGGCTGCGCACGTCTTTGTTAGGCAAGGCTGTTTGTAGTAGCCTGTTGATGTTATGCGGCTTCAGGGGCGTGCCGTCCTCATAGCGATAGAGCGGGCCAGGTGCCGAGCCACGGGCTGCTAGGTAGCTGGTGGCTGCCGTGTGCGGGCATGTCGGCGAGCCTGTCCTCCTGACGCTAATGTCCTGGCCGCTGCCGTATTGGCTCGTCTTTGTCACACGCAGGCGCAGCTCCACGCGGTCTGGGTACATGGTCGCATCGCTGTACTCAAGGCCGGCGCCCCGTGCCGTGAAGGTGTACTCGTTGACTCTGAGCAGCCCGTGGAAGGCCAGAGTCACGGCGCTCCAGAGCATGGCGCGGTTGTGCGGGCTAGGCACGGTGGACTGCAGGTAGTGCTGTACGCCAGCCAGATCGTCCAAAGTTGCGGCCCGCGTTGTCAACTGCTGAAGGGTGGACTGCGCTGGTTGTGTCGGCACTGCGTCGGCAGTTGGGCTGCGAGTCCAGAAGCGTCGACAACCTGACCCAAACAGGATTTATCTACATTACTATTACACTACAATTGATGTGAGTGCCGTCCAATGCGGCTGCCCATTAGCATAGTGGGCGATGTGCTCGAAGTACAGGATCTGGAACAATGCTGCCGGCACTGATCAGTCCCTGAGGTTGGCTTGCCCTGGCGCAGGGCGACAAGCGTTCGGAGTGCTGCGGCGAAGCGCATGCCATGCTGGAGCTGTCCGCCAGGCCCTGGCGGATGAGGTCCATGGTTGCGTCGTCAACTGCTGGAGGGTGGACTGCGCTGGTTGTGTCGGCACCACTTCGGCAGTTGGGATGCGAGTCCGGCAGCGCTGACAACCTGACCCAAACAGGATTTATCTGCATTACTATTACACTGCATTTGATGTGAGTGCCGTCCAATGCGGCTAGCCATTAGCACAGTGAGCAATGCACTCAAAGTACAGGATCTGGAACAATGCTGCCGGCACTGATCAGTCCCTGAGTGTGGCTTGCCCTGGCGCAGGGCGACAAGTGTTCGGAGCGCGGCAGCGAAGCGCATGTTATGCTGGAACTGGCCGCCAGGCCCTGGCGGATGAGGTCCATGGTTGCGTCGTCAACTGCTGGAGGGTGGACTGTGCAGGGTGTGTCAGCACTGCGTCGGTAGATGGGCTGAGAGTCCGGAAGCGCTGTACTCGAAGACGAGTAAGAGACTTAGCAGGATCATTGCAGAGTCGCCGTTGGGCTGAGAGTCCACATCAGCCGGTCTGTTGAACGGAAGGGGGAGGATCTAAGGCCAAATGGTGGTGCCTTATCTACATGGTACGAACCTTCCAAAAAATGCCAAGCCGGGGCCAGACATGAGGGGAAACAGACCAAAGCCGCCAGGCATACTTCGTGTCAGCTTTAGAGAGGAGAGCTCAGCATCAGGGACCTAAATTTCCGAGCCATCTTCAAGATTATGGGCTGGTGCGAAAACAGCTCCGGGGGCCCTGGAGGGGTGTGCTGCTGCGTCAGTCGCACAATACGTGCTCCAAGCGTCGCGAACCTCCTCCCGACTAAAGTCTCTCAGGCCAGGGATGGGGCTGCAGTTGCCTCGGCTAGGTTCTGCTCCGCTGCCGGAGCGGCCAAGTCCTCGCGTACAGTAGTCTGGAGCCAACTTCAACTCAAGCAGGCGAGTCCGCGGAGTAGGTTTTGTTCCTGTCGGGTCTAAATAATTGCGGGATGCCAGTGCGTTTCGCAGCTCAGCAGAGCGCATTTTGGCTGGACATCGCTCACTGACAGAGACATGGTTGATCGGATATTGATCAGAAACTGGCCGCGATTGTCAAACAATTTGACCGTCAAGGCAGCAAAGCAAAGAGCGTTATGGCTGGACATCGCTCACTGACAGAGACATGGTTGATCGGATATTGATCAGAAACTGGCCGCGATTGTCAAACAATTTGACCGTCACTGCGTCAGCGCAGCAAAGCAAACGGAGCGTTTTGGCTGGACATCGCTCACTGACAGAGACCTGGTTGATCGGATATTGATCAGAAACTGGCCGCGATAGTCAAACAATTTGACCGTCAGCACAGCAAAGCGAAGAGCAAGCTCAAAAACTGGCCAAGGTTGTCAAGCGATCTGACTGTTGGCGCAGCAAGGATGAAGAAGAAGCAGCATCGAGAGCCGGAGTAATGCGCATGCTCCGCGTGGTCCCGTGCCGGGGCGCGGGAGTTCGGAGTGCGTGTTCTGCACGGGCACGTCATGCGCTATGGCAAGTACGTGCAAATTATGTTAGGAATGTAATTGTTGGTGGGTTGCTAACTTCACTTACCGTGCCATGCACGGAAACTTATATTTAACTCCGGCTATGAAATACATGCGCGCGG